TAGTCCAAATCTGGCACTTTGTAATATGTATGTCAGACTTAGGTCAAATACTAAGCTGACGGACAATGCTGGAACCTCTCCCATAAAGAGTCAACAGTTGGAATAATCATAACGCAAGGCTGATACTTATAACCGAGTGATACTTTTTAACTTCTTGAAATCATTTTTTATTTGCCATTACCTTAAAGAAGAATTTTTACATTATGTCGAATAAACTTCCGTTTTGCTCTTCTTAGCTCTTACACACTTACGTTTAAAAGAACCTATCTCGCTTGTATAAACAATTGTAAATTTAATTAAGTTCCAAATACCATAAATCCGTAAATAAATATTTATGCGAAATTTATTTTTTAAAAAATACTATCGATTTTTGTTTACAAACAATGGCCGGAAAAAGTTAGTAGACAAAAAAACTGGACAACAACAAAATTGTTTATTATCTTGGTCAGCTAATTAAAAGTCAATGAGCTAAGGAAAAAACAAAAACGTTTTATCGAACAAATATTGATTACATTTTGGCGATGAATGGATAACTGTTGATCGAAATGTTTTCTTAATGGAGGCAAATATGACGCTGAGGAGGAGATGCGAAAATATTAATAACTAAACATTTTTGGCCCATCAAATTGTAGTTCGCAATATGATAATTTGGCTCATAAAATGGCAATAAAAACAAATAAAAAATATAAACACATTTTTTTGTGAATGAACATAATGGTCAGCTGATTGAGTGACAGAGAGAGAGAGGGATGTATGGAGAAAGTAAAACAAATAAATTGGAAATAGTGATCAAATCTTTTATTTTTGTAGATTTAAGTGGGAGGAGTGGTTTTATTTTGTGAAAGACCTGCAAATAATGAGTCACGATTTGAACGGATAAGGTATTTCAGGCCATAAAATAATGTAGAGAAAAAAAAACAATTTTTAAAAACGTGTTCCTAATTTTATGGACAATTTTCTAGGCCATTGAGAATTAAACTTTACGGAATATACCTAAAATAATTGAAATAAATAAATTTAAATTCCACAGAACTATAAATCTTATTTGGAAAATGTAACAGAACTCGCGGCTGTACAATACTGGAACAAACATAGGTTAAAAACAAGGTATTTTTTGGAACAACATTAGTTTAGAAAAAATTCTCAAGTCTTCTTTACAAATTTTTTCCAGAATCCTGATTCTGGGAAAGTATTTGTTTCTTGGGAGACCGACCCGGATCCCCCAAACAAGTTAGACCCCAACCAATTAAACTTATACGGACCATATAGGAAATACCTATCCAACAAGTGATCAAATGGTCAGAACATAATCGAATCGTCCGGGCTCTAAGATCCATATCTCTGGATTCAAAAAAGATAATAATATTGTAGCAGTTTGGAAAAGGTTATAGTGTCAGCTTTTATTTGGCAAACATTTTACCCAACCAAAATGGGGTCTTCCTCGCCTTCTAAAAATTGTGACCACTTGTTTGGCAGGCATTATTATTAGCTTTCAAATTATACATATATTGTCCATATCGGTCTTAGTAGGTTCGGGTTTAACCCAGGTCTTGGACCCATACTTTTGGAACAAAAATTCGGGCATCCGGGTCTTCCTCCCAATTAAAAATAACTTTCCCGGAATCAGGGTACAGATACCTACTCTGGAATAATTTTCAAAAAATCTGAGATTTTTTTACTAAACTAGAGAGTCTAACTGAAATATAGACAACTTGTTCAAGATATGGGTCGTAGATTTATCTACGCAGTAGAATATATGGACCGGCTGCCGGAAAATGTCTCATCCATTCTTTGTCCTCCACTGTTTTCAAATATTGCTTATGGACAATAGGTTATTCACAAAACCCCTAAAATTTGAAAGATCAACGTTCGTTAAATATATTTTGTTATAATCAAAGCCATATGGTATATCTGTATTAAAAAAATTCTGACTAATTCTATAACATGATTTTCATGTCTCTATTATACCCTCAACCTTATGACTATGACCGTGCCTCAATGAAATAACGATTTTCGACCCTAGGTCTTTTTGGACCAAATCCGTTTTAGGACATTTGGAGTCGATCTAGCTATGTCTGTCTGTCTGGCTGGCTGGTGCGTAGGTTACCTCTCGAAGGAAGTGCCCAATTTGATCCAAATTTGGTACATCGGAATATTTTTACCAAACTTAGATCGAGTTCGGAGATGGGCAATATTTGTTCACTTCTTCTGGTACCACGCCCACAAAAGGTCGAAATTTTCAAAAAAAATATTTTACTGCACAAAAAGAGAAAGGATGATCCGAATTCTAATATTTACATGAGTACTAGATAAGGTGCCAAAATGGACAATATCGGTCCAATCCATCAAGTACCTCCCCCAAACAAAAGGGTCAAAATTTTGAATAATTAACTGTAATAAAATGTGATGACCAATCCACCTTCAAATTAAAAACATCACAATATTTTTATTAAACCAAGGTCTGCTGTGAAGATGGAATTAAAAACATCACAATATTTTTATTAAACCAAGGTCTGCTGTGAAGATGGAATATATCGGTCCACTGCTTCTGGCACCTCCTCACAAAAGGGTCAACATTTTCAATATCCATGAAATTCATAAAACGCGAAATTAACATCGGATTCCATTCAGACTTGGTACATCTCAATATTTCTATCAACATAAGATCTGTTATAAATATGGTAGAGATGGAACCATTCCTTCTGGTACCTCCCCCTAAAAGGTTAAAGTTTTGAAAAATAAAAACGATTATAAAATTCGAAATAAGCATGCAGTTCTCTTCATATTTCACACATCCCATTATTTCTACCAACACAAAATCTTCTGTAAAGATGGGATATATTGGTCTACACCTTCTGGTACCATCCCCACAATGGCCAAAATGTTGAATATCCATGAAGTTCATAAAACGCGAAATTAACATCCGATTCCACTCAAACTTGCACATCTCAATATATCCATCAACATAAAATCTGTTATAAATTTGGTAGAGATCGGACAATTTCTCCTGATACCTCCTCCAAATAGGGTTTAAGATTTTGAAAAACAAAACGTTCATAAAACGCGAAATAAGCATTCAACGTTCACCAAATTTCACACATCCCAATATTTCTATTAACACAAGATCTGATGTGAAGATGGGATATATCGGTACACTCCTTCTGGTACCACCCCCACAAGAGGTCAAAATTTTGAATTTCCATGAAGGTCTTAAAACGCGAAATTAACATCTGAATCCTTTCAAAATTGGCAGATCTCGATATTTCTATCAACACAAGATAAATAGTGGAGATCGGACCATTCCTTCTGGTACCTCTCCAGCAATGGGTCAACGTTTTGAATAATCAAAACGATTATAAAATCCGAAATAATCATGCGGTTCTCTTCATATTTCACACATCCCATTATTTCTACTAACACAAGATCTGCTGTGAAGGTGGGATATATCGATCCATTTCTTATAGTACCTCCCCCACAAAGTGCTAAAAATTTTGAAAAACGCGATATAAGCCTCAAACTCTCTTCAAATTTCACACATCCAAACATTTTTGCAAGATCTGTTGTGAATCTGCTAACACCTTCTGGTAATTATATGTCATAACTTCAAATTATATGTCTCTTCAAATTTCACACATCCAAACATTTTTGCAAGATCTGTTGTGAATCTGCTAACACCTTCTGGTAATTATATGTCATAACTTGTGAAAAAGTCAGCGATTCCTTACAAGTTGCTATTTCTTAATTTCGCATAAAATTAAATATAAATGTCCCTTTTTCTTGTAATTTTGGCCATACCAATATTTTCATCTGTATTTGATGAAGCACGAAAATGGAATACATTCGACTATATCTGTTTACTCCCGCACATTTTAACATTTCCTAAAAATTATCACATATCTCATATAAAGTGTCGATATAGTCCAGTCGATATTGTCCAAACCTGGAACATCGCAATATTTATATCATATTTATTTAGGTCCGATACGAAATTGTCAATATTGTTCCATTCCTTCGTAACTTTCGCCATGGAGGGTCAACAATTTGAATAATCATAACACAGGTCACAATATATATTTAAAAAATCGAACATTGGCTGAGGGTATACATCTGTGAGCAAAACCGGCTGATACCATTTAACTTGTTTAAATAGGGTAAGTGTACCAGTAGTCGGCACTTTTATGATTTTCGCGTTTTTAATCGCTCACCATTCTGAGTGGAACTTTTCAATTATTACAAATTTAATTTATTCAGATTCGAAATTTTGTATAGTTTTTGCAATAATAAATAAAGTTTTAATAACTTTTTATTAAATTTTATAAATTTGTAGTTTTATTAAAACATTGCTTTTTTGCCAGTAGTCGGCACCTCTTGCTAATTGTCGGTATGGTATGTTCCAACAGTCGGCATACCAATTTTTTTTGTAAGAATAATTAAAAATAATAATAAATTAATTCATTAAAATATAATATTTTTGTTTAGTTAAACTGATTCGACGTCTTTATTGTACTTTTCTTAAGAATATGGATTGTTGAGGACCTTCACAGACAAAAATTTAAATTTTATTAAAATAAATCATCTTTTCTTAGCGAAATTGTACACAAAGATAGCTGACAATATATTTGAAGTAAACAAAATACATTTAGTTATAAAACTTTCATTTATTTGGGCTTAAAAATAAAAACTGCCGACTACTGGGACATGCCGAACTTAGGCACACTTACCCTATTACATTTTAATTCACATTTTTTGAAAATATCCCTTTCCGAAAAAAATCCACTCGCATCCCCAGTCCCTAAACCAGAACACATTTCAAAGTATAAAACCGTAGCAAACATCCATACTTTAATTAATTATTACATGACTTCCACTTAATGAACATCCTAGGAGCATCTGCTGGCTGGAAAAGTGTTAAGTCGCCACTAGCAATGCACTCACTACAGCCAACTATGAACCTGCTTCCACCACAAATATAAATGTCATGTCATTTCCTTTTTCTATACCTTTTGTTCACTCTATCTCTTCTTCCCCGTTCTTCGTGCAAACAATAATATCCAGCTGCGATGATAATCCTTGGGTTATTCTTTTCGTTTTTGAGGGTATCCAATATCCACTAAAAATTGATTTATTATTGAAACTTTACTTTTAAAACTTGCAATCCACCTTTTTCGATTTTCAACGGATGAAGCAAAACACTTTGAGTAGCCACTTCTTGAGATTTACTCTCTATAAAAGAATTTCTTTCAATCAATTAAAATGATTTGTTGTTTTATTTGTATTTCTTGCTATTATTCTCTTTTATAATTCACTTGTTTTCTTTTATTAATCAGGAAGATTTAATTTTCTAAAATAATTTCTTTTGTTTATTTATTCTATTTTTTCCCGAAAATTTTCGTAAACAAAACAAATGTAATTTGCAAATTTAACAGTTACGATTTGTAAGAGCAACAAGTACAACAACGAACGATCGCGTTTCGCACACATACACGAACTCGTATTGTTGATTTCTACGACCGACCGACCGAACGAACGTAAACAAACTCTCCGCTCGCACAAACCAACTTCTTCGAATGTGTTTTCACAACTGACACTTCGAAGAAAATGAAGTTGGCTGTTACACGTTGACGGCGTTAACAGCAACGGCGGCCGACAACTACTTGCTACACTTGTTATGATCGTGAAATTTTGTTAAGGAAACAATATTTTTACTACATATAATGAAAAATGTTGTATAAAATAATCTTTTTTTATATAAAATATAAATAGGAAATTAATATTTTGTTAATTTTGTTGAAGTTTTAATTAGGGAGAGTTTTTTTTATTGGAGAGAAGAATTGCACACATGCAAGAGAGTTGTTGTTTACGAATGGAAGAAGAAACAAAGAAGGCAAAAATAATATCGATTTGTTTGCTGTGCAATAGGGAGGTTCACATTGTGAGGCTTTTTTAAAACGAATTATTTAAATATAAAACTGGTAATGGTAATAATAATAACTTAATAACAACAATAAAAATAAAGTCAAATAATGAACATCCCATGCATGGATAACATGATATAGGGAAACGATGAATGTTTTGTGTATCGTCCCATGAAAAGTATTTTACTGCTACCATTTTGGAAACAAGACAACCCTAAAATATAGATGGCGTTCGCAAAACCTACAATTGCATTGAATGGTAACTTCAATAGATGTCTCTTACAAACAATATATGAAGCATTTAAATTATATATCAAATAAAAAAAATGTCGAAAACCTTATAAAGAATAAATATTTGTGAATAGCTCAAAACTTTAGGTCAAATAAAGATTTCGGTCTGTCAAGATGCAGCCTACATTTTTTTGTGTAAAACTTTGAAAAAAGTTAGCATTGTTTCATGGATGGTTTTTGCGTGGTACCAGTACAAAGGCATGGCAAGTAGTAGTTGATTACAACTACTGCCAATTTTGGCTCACAATATCCACATATCGAGGGTTTCTAGCATAGTACAATAAGGAGGTAGAACAGCTTCGTAAAAGTACAGAAATACACCCCTGAGGCTATGCCCGCTTTCTGTCAGAATTATTCAGAAGTAGATGCAACAAAGCAATATTGTTTAAAAGGCGCGATGAATGATGAATGAAATGCCTGGATTTTCTTTAAAAAATATGATCTATGCCCGTTTTTATGTTGGAAGATTGATCAATCTTCCAACATAAAAACGGGTGAATACGTTGGATGGTCCTTCAGGGACTGAACACACTAACCAACACTTAATATTTTTTTAAAATCGTTAAGATATTTAAAAGATGTGGATATGCCAAATTATAGAACAATTTTGAAAAACTTTTTGCAGGATTACAATTTAAGAATCCAAAATGAACAAGAAAAAGGAGCTGAGTTCGGCCCAGTCTAACTTTTAATAATCTTTACTATTTGGAAGGACCTTGAAAAATTTCAAAGAAAGCATAAAGAAGTAAACAACAAGTCCACCATTTGGAACGAATTTAATAATTCTCAAAAACAATAAAATCCGTTAAAAATTCTGTTAAAATCTTAAAACTGCCGAAAGTAGCTGTTATATTAGGGACTATTCGACGACATGGACCACCGTAGGTATCTTTTGTAATAAGCCATCACAATATTCAAATGCGAAACTTAAAAAAATAATGTAGCTAAAATCTTCAAAATACCGAATATCGGGAGGTACCGTTATTATACGCTCCACACTATGGTGGAGGGTATAAAAGATATGCTTTGTCAAACTCATAAATTATAATGGGACATTTTAGAGTTTCTATTTCGCACACCAAATATCCTCTGTCTATGGTTGTTGTTGTTCTGGTAACAGCCACACATGAATGATTTGATTTCTGCAAATCCAGTTCTAACTCCATGGTTAAGAATTCGGCTACCTTCGCGAATCGGGTAGTTCCGCTACTAAATTCTGAATTTGTCACCAGCAGCAAAAACTCGTGGAGCTTTACTTCTCTCCAGCATCGTCGAATACCTGCCTACTTACTGAGAGACGGAAGAGATTGCGAGATAATCTTTGATTGCATGCATCAGGGCATGAAAACTTATCGGTTGATTAACATTTTCATAATTCCAGAGAAGGTTCTCCACCAGTCCATGCATATCTATATTTTGTCCATCATTTCTATTTTTTTTGTTTGTTTCAAAATTCGTATCCTTTTTAAGGGAGATGCCAGAGTAATTGTACCGGAATTTTTCTTTAAAACAACACTCTATACAGTGTGAGATAAAATAATTGCAATAAAGTCAAATGCCATATTTTTTAATTTTTTTTTAATTTTATTGAATTGTTTAGAATAAGTTTAGATTTGTTCGAACTGGTCACCTTTGGCACGAATTATGGCCTTCAAACGGCCAATGAAATTGTCACACCCTGTCCGAATGTTGCTCTGCGGTATTTTGGCCCATTCCCGGATAAGCGCTTGCTTGAGGTGATCGACACTTTGGTATTTTTTAGTGCCAACCTGGCTTTCCAAAATACTCCAGACACAATAGTCCAACGGATTGGTATCTGGAGGTTTTTGGTGGCCATTGTGCGCTGTAAATGAAGCCAGGAACCGCATTTTGTAACCATTTTTGGGTAGCGCGTGCTGAGTGCGAAGGTGCTATGTCCCGTTGGAATGTCCAAGGTCTGCGGCCAAAATGTTTGTGTGCCCAAGGCTTTAATATACCCTCCGTAATATTTTCGCGATAATATTCGGCATTTATTCTGATGCCACGGTCGATTAATACGAGCGGCTGTTATGGCGCCCCACACCATCACCATGGCCGGCGCTTGAGTTCTGGTGGCCAACCGAAGGTGCACATTTTCAGCTGACCTCTTTGGCAAGTAAACACGATCATTTTGTTTGTTTACAAACTGCTGGACAACGAATGTTTTCTCATCGGAGAAGACCAAATTCGGCAGTTCACCGCATTCGGCCAAGCGAAGCAACTCTTAGCTCTTTTGAGTCTATTTTCTTTATGTTGCGGTATAAATTCTTGTACTTTTTGGAATTTCAATGGCTTTACCCCGAGCTCATTTGTCTATCGTTGCCGAATGGCCACATTTCGGCCACTGCGATGCGGGTTTTGATCAAGTCGCTTCTTTACTTTTCGAACCATTTCTGCTGATGTTGCTGTTTTCTTCCGTCCACTTCCTTGACGTCGGGCTACGCTACCAGTATCACGGTAACGAGTAATGGTACGAGACACAAAAGATTTATTCACATTTAAATGCTGGAGTGCTCTAACGATAGCCACTTGTGGTTTTCCAGCCAAATATAAAGAAATAACACTATCACGCTTGAATTCCATCACGAATAAATTTTTTTCTGGAAAATTCTCACCAAAATGCTTTTGTACGCTTGTAAACAATGAAATGAACAGTCACTGGAATAATTTTAACAGCTGTCGGACGAGTGGCTTAGAAATGACAGCAGTCTGAAGTTGGTTGCAGTTTTTTCACCTCACCCTGTATGCCAATAAAACCTACTAATTATTCAATGTTTGTTATAATCTCTTTAACATCAAACTAACCCACAATGAAAAAAAATAAAATAACGCAACAATTTGTTTTCTTCTTGACCAAATGTAAATATATATCTTTTAATTTTCAATTAAACATAAACATACCCAAAATGTATATTTCATACACAAACACATCCATACATTTCTAAACAAAATTAAGTTATCATTTTAGCATAACTATATAAGAACACAGAAGAACATATTTTTGGCATTAATATTTTGTTTTAAAGTAAATGGGGAAAAACACAAAAGTTTGGGAATATTTCGTCTTGACAAATATGGCCTTTGAGCTGCAGTCAATTAATGTTTTATGGGTGTGTGTGAAACATGACACGAATATAGGCACATGAATTAATAAACATTTTACAAATAACTGATACACATGATACATTTCTTTAAAAATAAAATTCATAATATTCTGCCATGTTTTCGAACGTTTGATTGTATCAATAACTCAATATGGGTTAATTCGAATTTGTTTTTACTTTTCTTTTTTTTTCGGTATAATTCTAACTATGTTTACAAAAACAACATTAGGATTTGAAAGAATTAACTAACTTAACAATTAACCAGTTTTGTTTTGTTTTTTCTGTTATGCGTCTAGAATTAGTTTATAGTTTTTTTTGTTTGTTCTAGAAAAATGTTCTAAATAATCCAACCACAGCCTGTACCCATCGAGGTACAGGTCTTGTAGTTATTTGGTTCTCAGCGGTGGTGGATTGATTGAAGAGACGTTCGTTTTCGTGTTGTAGACTCTGACTCAGGCCCTCATTGGCGGTAACCAAACAGACTTGTGTTTCCAAATCCCGATTAACAGAGCGTTCACCAAAGTTTGACGAACCAATAAGTGTAAGATTTGGCAATTTCGATTGAGGTAGATAATACCAAAGACCTTTGGCATGATAGGTCCAGCCTTGTTTTTCATATTCGAAAAAGTTTACGCGGTGGTTTTGTTTGCGCCGCACTAAACTTTCGTAGAAGCTCTTAGCTATGAGTGTGTAAGCAGCCGGTATTCCGCCGGCAGGTCCTTTTGCGCCCTGGAAGCCATTAGCCTGTGAAAGGAGGAATGGAATATCATTAACATTTCTTCAAAATTATTAAAATATTGCAATATACAAAAAATAATACAGATTAAAATCAGGATCAAAATGAAATGTGAAATTTTATCCAAAACTGCGAAAAAAAAAGCAAGTCTGTATGCAACTTTTTAACCCCCTGAGATCTCTAGATTCTAAAATGCGAAGTCACCTAAATCTAAAAATAGGAGGGTACTGGTATTAAAAAGGCAAAAATTAAAAATTCAGTTTAGCATAAAGCCAAATTCTGTCATCGTAGTAAACAAATAATTACATTCTTGTAGTTCTGGAATAAAAAATATAAAATCAGTAATCTGTTCCAGTACCTGCAGGAATGTACTAGATTTTTTATTTGATACCATAAAGGGAAAATCCAAAAGAGATAGATAGCAGAAAAAGGGTCTCCTTCTGATTCGACAATTCTGGACATGTCATTACTTTTTTAAAATACGTGAAGCAAGGAACCAAGCTCAGAATGATGGGCAAAGCGTACTAAGGGACAAAAACTAAGGAAACACTTCCTGCTACAAACACAAATATGTCTCTCCTAACTCGAAGGCCATCTGCCTGAAGTTCTCATTCTCAGCACGCGTCACCCAAGAATGATTACAAATGAGGTTTTTCGCTTCATTTCCAGCGCACAATGGCCACCAAAATCTCCGGATACCAATCCGTTGGACTATTGTGTTTGGAGTATTTTGGAAAGCAAGGTTGGCACTAAAAAATACTAAAGTGTCGATCACCTCAAGCAAGCGCTTCGCCTTGAATGGGCCAAAATACCGTAGAGCAACATTCGGGCAGCGTGTGACGGTCTCATTGGCCGTTTGAAAGCCACAATTCAGGCCAAAGGTGAAAAATTCGAACAAATCTAAACTTATTCTAAAATTTGATGCTTTTTCCGACATTTTTTGCTTTCATTCAATAAAATTAAAAAAAAATTAAAATTATGTCGTTTGACATTGTTGCAGCTTTTTATCTCACCCTGCAAAGCAGAAGGTTTTTTTTCCCAATCCAAAGTTCATCGTAAATACAACTAGATAAAGGGATTACAAATTTTCAAAACAAAACATTTCTGTAAAGGTAACTTAGTTTCAGCTGATCCTTTAACTTAGTTATTCCTAAGTTCTTCACAAAACACACACTTTCATTCTGCTTTCCCTCAATCTAATCCAAGTTCGGATATAAATTAATTCCAAAATTTAATAAACATTCATAACAAATTTCGATTTCCTACTCACATTAGGATGTGCCATCAGAATGCTACATTGTGCCAAACATTTGTGCGTCAACGTATCCATATATTCCTGTGTTAGATTAAAATACCCGGTGGCCAATTTCAAACGAGAATTTTCTATGCAATTCGACAGCAAACGCTTTGTGACAACACTATCATGATGAATGCCAATTTGTCCCATCTCGACCAAGGGGAATATCCACGAATCAGCATCCTTCGATTCATTGCACACCCTTTGTTGTTCCTTATAGACATCTTGCATAAAATCGGTTATACTTTTCTTGGCGGTATTTATGAAATCTTCTTTGGTTCCCTCATATGGTAAATATTGCCAATTACGATGGAGACCAACTTCGGCATCTTTTTGTACCGTCAAACTGAACTCCTGAACACGTGATATAAAACCGGCATAGAAATCAGCTAAGGGTTTATCTTCAATAAGAATATAACGATCTTGGCGATTCGTGAAATAGTCATTCGAGAGATTTGCGCCGGATATCAGGACAGCATCATCGAACAAATACACCTTCATGTGTTGCAAACCCAACAGTTCATTCCAACGTGCCGGCACCAGACGTTTTGTTAGGCCTCTCAGATTCGGTGTATGATACAGACTCAACTGGAATTGTTCACTAAAATCTTGTATGAGGGGTAACAACATTGTTTTTGAATTCATTTCACCCCTTGTGCCGCGAGTAAAATCCAGCAGAACATTAACTCTCAGCGATGATTGTTGTTGTAACGTCTTTCTCAGAGTCTGTACGAAATTTGTTTCCAACTGGCCAGTGCCCAAATATAAGCTAGCCAAGACAATTCTTTCACGAGCACTGGCACTTCGCTGCAACAACGTTTCGTAGAAATGTTTTGGTTCATTTATCACTTGAATTTGTTCGCCCCTTAGGGGAAAACAGGGAGCCACATTGTGTAACCACGACAAACTTTCCAAACCTGTGGCTGCTGCAACACCACCTCCAGCTGCACTAAGAATTTGTGGGGTTTGTTGTTGGAAATATCCAATTAAGTCGGTGGGCTGATTAAGTGGTTCCGCAGCCATTGAGAAAAGACGCCTTAAAAACAGCATGTTTGTGCTATCTGTAGTTTGCCGATTGTCTGATAAGCCTCTGTCTGTTAGTTTCTAATAGCCCACTGACCTTTCACACACAGAAGTCGACAACAATTTCGGACAATTTCTTTAACAAATACTTTCACTTTTCCGTGTTTGTTGTCACTTCAATTGCTTTGCATAAATTAGCTATTTTTAGCGTTATGCTTTCGTTTTCTTCTTCGTCTCTTTTATGCTTCTGTTGAGGTATATATTTTCTATGTTTTTATTTACAAAAATCGGAATTTTCTTTCAGATTTTCGCAATGGAAAATTCACGCGCTTCAAACTACTCCACTTCTTAAATATGAGATGACACAACACAAAACGACAAATAAAAGACTGTGCACACACGAAATGAATGAGAAAACGTCCGTTTCTGTTGCTTCTCTTTCAAGGAATTCATATGGCGATATGGCATCACATTTCAAAATGAATGGAAAGGTATAAAATGTACAACCGATAAAGACAGGGAATCAAAACAAAAACCCTGTTGGCAGAGCTCTAAAGATCGAAAATAACCAATTACAGTAAGGGACGTGTGAATCGTTATTCGCCTTGAAATATCTGTTAGCCAGTATTTAACTGGCGTTTACATAAGACAGTTTGTGTTGCATCAGAGTTGCATTTTACTACAAAATACACACACAGGTTCGATTATTTTGATCACTGTCAATCTTTTTTAATAAACAATTAATGCAAACAATTTTTACAAATGAAAAATAATAAATAAGAGTAAAGTAAATAAAAGTAAAAACTTTTTACAGAAAATAATAAATTATATCTGTGTGATGTAGACTGTAAAATCTATATATTATACCTGTGTCACTCCGTCCGTTTGATTGTCTGGGTTGTGCGCACAATAACTCCTGAAGGAAGTATCCGATTTAGTCGATCGAAATAATAGTATCAAAATTATGATATGCGTACAAAAGCAGCTTCGCATAATGGCTAAGTGTATTAATGTCAAATTATAAAGAAAATCAACCGCAGGATACGAGAGTGGCTCTCTCAAACTTTATGATATATCACAAAATATGCAATGCAAAGACTTCAAGCTGTTGATGGTACAATAAAAATGTGGGGTATAGCTATCAGCTGATTACAATTTCTTTCAAAATCTGACCGACTTCTGTCAATTTTGTATATGTATTTATTGTTTGGAATAATAAAAATAAAATAAATATTTTCAAAATCAATGATTGGAAGAAACGTGTACCGGCGGCACATATTAAAGAGATTAATCAGTTTTGTCATGTAATTGAAAGATTGAAAGATTGGATCATATTTTTGAAAACAAATCCATCCAATTCATTAATTTTTCCCGTATTTTTTTTATTTTTCCTCATTTTAAAATGAGTTACATAGCGTGAAAAAATGATGCATTGCCTGATTTTCGCTGAAAAATATGATCCAAACTGTTCAAATTCATGGCTAAACTCATGGTGCAATAAGGACGTAGAACAGCTTTGTAAAACTACAGAAATACAGCCCCGTGGCAAGGGGTAATCTTCAATAGCATAAATGCGCTATAAACGTACTACAAATGGCTTAACCCATTTGCGAAGTTTCGTCATGACGACTAATCAAAGGAATTGACAATTTGAACAACTCGTTTTACGAAAACATGCTTAGTAGCAGCCTTAAGCCTTCGTATGACATATTTTGCGACATATCATAAAGGTATGCCAAAGCAGCATTCGAATCTTGCCGTCGGTTTTTTTTTTCTTATAATATGAATTTTATTTCAATTTAAATCCGTAATTACCAAGGCAATTTTTTTTTTAGTTTGGGAAAGATTAAATATTCAAATAAATCGAATTAGGAGATTCCGATTTTTGTTTGTGTAACAAATAATAATATAATTAATAATACACTTAGTTATGAATTTCTCCTAAAAGAAAATAATAACATTTTCTATCTATTTGACGTTCCCATTGTGCTTCATTAATGTGCCCGCACTAATTGTATTTGACGGCACAAAATGCAACCCTGCACTGATCTCCAATAGTAATATGTAGAAACAACACTGCAATGACGCCATTAAGATAAAGTTTTTGTTTGTAATTTATTTTATTTGAATTGAATTTTTAATAATTGTTAACGATATGAAATTGTAAAAATATAATCATCAAATATGAATACATCAGCAGCAGAGAATACAAAGGTTATTGACTTGGAACATTTACAGCAATTGAGTTATGAACGTTCAAAATTGTGGGCCACTTTTCTGGATGTAAGTACTGGTTGTTGGGCTATGATGGGAAATAAATTAATTCAACATTTTCATTGCAGAACATACAAGAATCGGAAAATCAATGTGAAATTCCATTGGATCATATGGAAGATTATGTGGGCGATATTCCCGAAGAAGAGGATGAAGATGCATTAGCTTCTATGGAGGATGAAAACTACGACGACAACGTAGATCCAGAAGCTTTAAGGGACATTACCAATTCAACGCGTCTGTCGTTAATGGTGGGCGGTACTAACAAATCAACTTTATTGCCAGATTCTACGTGCAATGGAGTGAATAATGATTTGATTGGAATGCTCAATGAAACGTTGCCAGTTATAAATGAACACAATCGTCAACTGAGGGAATCAGGATTCGATCGTATTTTGAACACATTTGATGCCAAGAAAATCGAAGAAAAAGTTGGCGGATGGCTTAGAAGACATAATTCCTTGTGTGGTGGCAATGGTGGAGATTTCTCGATGACTACCAGCAGTGAGAGGAGAGCAGAAGTCCACGGCAGTGTTAAGAATAAAAGGGGAATAGAAAAACAACATCATCTACCAGTTCCTTGTATTCCATTCAATACGTACCAACAAGAAGATGAAAGTGATTCGGATGCTTCCTTTAATTCTGGTGAAACTGCCCGTTACATAAAATCCAGCAGAAGTGGTAATATAAGAAACTCTGCCTCCACCACCATGATGATAAAAACATATAGAATGGTGAAGAGTACTCGTCAGGCATTAAGGGATAAGTATGGTTATGATCCAAATGATCTCGTAGATTCACATCTAAATGAACTAAAGCTGCGTCGTAGATTGGCAAAGAAGACAGCTTCACATCATCATTATAATGATGTACATCATTCGGCAAGGTCACACAAAATGCCAATGTATCATCAATATATGACACCGACAACGCATATTACCCAATCAAGGCGTAAAGTGTTAAGAAAACGCACGACAAGTAATAGCTTTAGCACGATGGACGAATCATCTTCAGACTCGGATAGTTGCTATGACAATGGAGGTAGAAACTATCATCGAAAATACAAAATGTGTTGTACCGAACGTTATTGTTCACGATATATACCGGGACATTTATTGATGCCTAATCCAACCCCTGTAACGGCCACAGTAAAACGATCGCAGTACCGTAGCCATAGGACACCAATTTGTGCACGAAATGATCAAATGCTTTACTATTATCAATCACATTCACATTCCATGCAATCTCCACCATCCCCCCATGAGTTCCGGAAACCTGTTGCGAAAAAGTCGTTAAAACGTTTAGACAATCGTCCATGTAGAAAGGAATCAGAATGTCGCTGCTGTGGTCAGAAAAGACTGTGCAAGGAATATAAGTAAGTAAATAATAAAAAAAAGTTTTAACTAAATTTTTAAACATTTTTTTAACAGGCATTTAGCAGACACGTCTACCGAAGAATGGATAGTTGAAAACAGTTTTTCGCCGGAAAAAGAATCTGGTATTTTCACATCAACTCAGTTAACCACATCAGGGAAAAATTCGAAACCAATAGAAGAAAAAGGAAAGGATGACTCTTCTAATGAAGTAGACATTTCACAACAGGATTACAACCACCAAACGATTGTAGATCTAAAATCATCGAAAAAAGTTGGAGAAACACCAAAACTTGCTCCTGTGGAGGAAGAAAAGTCACACAGTAGGGAAATGCAGTTGCAGAAAAAAAGTGAAGGAAAATGTGTTGACAAAAATGAAGATGAAACCTCCGACTTAAAAGCTAATGAGAACAAAAGTTCAAACAAAACGGAAGATAATCCAAAACAAAAACCTAGACAAAATGTTTCCAAGAATGTTACTAAAAAGAAGACAAAGTCAAAAAAGGAATTAAATGTACCCAATGATAGCTTTCAATTGGAACTTCAAATTGCCCTCAAAGAATCCGAAGAGCTCTACAAGAAAGAACAAATGAGAAATGTTAAAGGACAACCGCAAGAAGCAAATGTAGAAATTGACCTTGACGATCCTAAAACAAATGCGGAAGAAACGTATACGGATTTCAAAGTTGTTTACAATTCAACTACAGTTGCTAAAAACAAAGCAGACGAAGCTGCTATACCCAAGGGAAGCTCAGTTAAAAAGACAAAAACTAGTAAGAAAGATCTCTCAAAGAATGGAGTTCCGGAAGCACCTCTAAAAGAGATGGATATGGAAAAATGTGATAGCATTTCTAAATCAAATGCAAATATATCCAAAGCTAAGGAAAGAAAAACTAAAATGAATAACAATAAAAAGGACAAGGCATCGGAAGGAAATGATAAGGAGAAGAACTCTAATGTCATAGAAATAGCGAACAGTCATAAAATACCGAAGTCATCCGAAGGAACAGAACAGCTGCAGGAAAATTCTATGAGAGATCAGACAGCAACAAAGGTCCACATCTCAATTACTGTGGAGGAAAAAGAAGCAGTGGACCAGGAATGTGATGAAGATAAGAAAACATCAATTTCAAGTTTTCAAAATCATCAAATTAATGATTTCAAAGTGGTTGAAAACAGTAAATTCCATAGTACAGAAGGAAAAGGTGAAAACAATAGGAAAAGAACTAAAAACTTGTCTTTGAGTAAACCTAAATCTAAATGCAAAGCTGCGCATTTGAATGAGGTCATTTCCGAAAATAAAGAATCTCAACGAGGGAGGGATATTGAAACTAACAACGATACAAACATTTCTAGGTTGGTTGAGACCAGACATCAGCTGGAGAATAACACTTCTAATGAGATACCTTTAAAGAAACCCGATTCGAAAACGAAAGTAAAGGAAAAAACTAATAAAAATAATGTTGATCCATCTGTTGCAAAAAAGAGACAAAAAAGGAAAAAGGAAAATTCCAAATCGGTGAAATCCTCCCACAAGTCAAGTCCCACACAGAGTCCGAACACTTCTGATGATGAAATTCCTGCCAAGTTGAAACAAAATGATGAAACAATAACTCACAACAAAAAGAAGGATAATTCATCGAACAACAATAGTAGTAGCAACAATGCGAACGTTACATCGACAACCATGCAACACTCTCCATACCCGGAAATAGAATATAAATCGCGTTACAGACGTAAAGCACTAAAAGATTCCAACAGTGATAAAAATGACGATATCGATTGCACTGTAGTATCATCTACAACCGCGAATTTAGAGCCTCCCGCACACGAGGAAATAACAAATGAACAAAGCCAACGTGGCGAATCAAACTCTTCCTCAAATGCCACTATTAAGGAACTGAACATTCCCACAAACTACTACACGCCCAACAAAGGCATACTCATCTATGCTCCACACAAATCGTCATTGGCTCCACCACAAAGCTTTAGCCAAGACGGCGCTTCTTTCATTATAACCCATGAACATTTAAGTCGTGTCATTGGACATAAAGCTGCCACAAAATTTCTCAAATATTACATAGGTCGCCGACGTTTCAATAGCAAATCGACAATTTATTTTAAACCACCCTCAAATGGAATAGTGCCGGACACTAGTGAGGATTCATCTAGCGACGATGATGATTTGGAATACATTGGCCAATATGGTGATCTATATGAGTCATTTGGCGGTGGTGGCGCTGGTTCAAATCATGATAGTGGAGCACATAAGCAGTCTTAGGTAATAAGTGTATGTGTGGCTTTTATCGTTAAGTTTTAATTTTAATAAACGTTTTTTTTATATTTTATATGAAATAAATGTTTTTTTTATACATTTTTAAGAATTTATCTTTTTTATTTGCCTCAAAGTATCCTTAAACATGAAAAATTATAAATATTCCACTGCAAGTTAAAAAGTATCAGTCGGTTTTGCCGACAGATGTATACCCTCAATATTCGATTATTTAAATATATTTTGACTTCTGTTATGATTATTCAAATTGTTGAAACTCTATGGCGTAGGTTCCGAAGGGAAGGAATGGTTCAATATTTTAAATTTCGTGTTGGACCTTAATAAATATGATATAAATATTGCGACATATCAAGACCATATCAACTACTTCGTTCACTTTATATGAGATATGTTTTATTTTTTATTTTTATTTATTTTCAATTAGTACAGAAACCTAGCCAACAGGGCCATGGACGGTTCAAAAAACTTCTATACATGACTACTCTAAATTAATTATAATATCCTTAATCCTAAAAGAATTACTTAAAATTAAACACTAAAACAAATTAACAAAAAATGAATAAAATTAACAATTGATTGATGGTTCCAAGAACTCCTATACATGACTACTCAAAACTATTCATAACATCCTTAATCTTAAAAATAACATTAAAAAAATAACAAAAAAAAAAAGATTAGCAAAAATCACAATTCATTGAAGATTTAGATAAATCAACTATGCAAGGAAAAAAACAAATTAACACAATATAATTTACGCCTATAACATTTTAGGGAAGAATTGAATGTCTTAAGATTAGGTGGCAGATTGTTGAAAATGCGAGCAATTCTTACATAGAAGGATTTTTCCAACAGAGGAGTCAAGCGTGGTATAACAATTTGCAGGTTCCTTACAGATCTCGAAAACTTAAAAAGGTCCAAAAGAGTAGAAGATGTCCTCAATTTAAAATGTTTGTAGAACAACAACATTGACCTTAAATTCACAAAACACTCAAACGAACAACCAAGAAACTCTTTCACAGAAGGAGATATATGATCACGACGTTTGACACAAAAAACATATCGCATTACCCTATGAAACAATAGTTTTAACTTACGAAAAACAAAACCGTAGCTACCCCCAAAAATCTCAATACAATATAAAAAGTGAGGCATTATTAATGCATGTACCAACTGAATTCTAATCTTCTTAGGCAAAACTATGTCCAAGCAGTACAACTTCTTTAAAATAAAGTTAACTTTGGACACTAAAGAATTCACATGCACATCAAACACCAAACCAGAATCAAGAAACAAACCAAGACATTTCATCGAGCTTACAACATTTATAGGCGTCCTATAAATGGAAACTCTAATTGAATCCTCTTGCAAGTTCCCAAAAAACATAACTTTAGATTTTTGAGTATTTATTGAGAGACCGTTACAGGACAACCAAGTTACCAACATATTAATATTAAAATCAATTGACGACTGCAACACATCCATAAACACATATTCTCCTTTAAACAAAATTTGAATGTCATCAGCAAATGCAAACGACATACAATTCCTACCATTAATACAACTCAGCAAATCATTAACATACATAACGAACAATAGAGGGCCAAGAACAGATCCCTGTGGCACACCACTACTCACTGGAAGAAGATTGGAAACAACATTTTTACCAGAGACATACTGTTTTCTCCCGAACAAGTAAGAAAACATTAACTTACAGGCCGAGAACGAAAAATTGAAGAGACGATGTAACTTACTAATTAAATTGGCAGGATTAATCCTGTCAAATGCCTTCTCCAAATCAAGTGATAATAAAACACAGCAATCACCAGCACTGACAGAATTTCTTATATTGTCAGTCAATCAAACCAGAAGAGATGTTGTGCTACGATTACTTCTAAATCCATATTGACTCTGGTGTAATAGTGAATGTTCATTTATATATTCTAACATTTGATCTTTCAATACATATTCAACCATTTTAGAAAGAATTGGCATTATTGATATGGGTCTGTACTCATCAGAATCACCACTTTTATGAATAGGCACTATTTTAGCAATTTTCCAGAGCTCAGGAAACACAGACACTGTCAAAATCGTATTCACAACATGAAGCACAAAAGGACCAACAAAGGGAAAAACAAGTTTAAGAAATTTAAGTTTAAAGCCATCGTAACCTACTGCTTTTGACTTAATTTTATTAAAGGCACTAATAACTTCATCATAACTAATGGCACGAAACGAAAAACCATCATAAGCACCTACAGGAACACAAGAAATATCACAGACATCCATAGATTGATTGGAGACAAAACAAGAATTCAACATCTCAACATCCACATTTTCAACTTCGCATTCCTCATCACTCAAACCATTGTTATTTAATATCGACCACACTTCCTTTGTGGTTTTATTCATAAACAATTCCTTGTGAGCAATATACTTCAACCTCCTTATGACTTTCTTAGCACGGTTCCGACAACGACAAAAATTCCTCCAATTATCTAAAGTCCTATTTTGAAGATACGCCTTATATGCAGAATCCCTAAGGGAAACATGATAACGGATGTCAGAAGATTTAAACCAATCACTATAATTATTCTTATAAAATCTTCTTCTTATCGGAACAACTGTATGCAAACATTGAAGACCACAATTTAGTATATTTACCTGTGATTCAACATCTGTCACTGTAAACACTTCTTCAAAGTTGCATAAATCCAAAGCATCCGAAATCGCTACTGGGTCAACAGAACTGTAGTCCGCATATTCATAAAACAGACGACTACGACAATTAGGAACATATGTGATAATTTCTAGAAAATGTGAATGAAGTATTTCATTTTTATGCTTCAACTAATACTAATAAAAATTTGGAATGGGCAAAATTACAAGAAAATCGAACATTTATATTAAATTTTATGCGACATCATAAATTTCATATTTTTCTCAGGTTTCTGGTTAAGAGTAATATTTAGCTATAGCAAGTTGTAAATAATCGCTGATTTGATCCACAAGTTATAACAGATAAAAGTATTGTAAATTGTGACTCTTTGTGGGTGAGGTACGAGAAGGAGTTCGTAGATATATATCATCATCACAACAGATCTTGTGTTAGCAAAAATGTTTGTATGTGTGAGCGTTTTGTTTTTCAAAAATTTGAACCCCATGTCAGGGAGGTACCGGAAGAAAGAAATGGTCCGATATCTGCAATCTTTATTACAGATCTTGTCTTGAAGGAAATATTGAGATGTACCACATCTGTGGGGAAGGTGCCAGAAGGAGTTGACCGATTCACAGCAGATCTTGTGTTAGTAGAAATAATGGAATGTGTAAAATATGAAGAGAACCGAAATCTTATTTCGGATTTTATAATAGTTTTGGTTATTCGAAATTTTGACCCTTTGTGGATGAAGTACCAGAAGGAGTGGATTGATATATTCCATCATCACACCAGAAAGGTACGAGTTTAGAATATAATGTGGTATATAGATGTTATTACCCCATAATGGGACCATTTTCTAGGGGTTTTTCAAAAAAAGTTCAGGTGCAAAAATACCAATTCTCTTGTATTACTCCGGAAACACTTCATGGGTTGGTATTCCCATAAACTTTCAAATGATTCCCATATTCTATATGTATATCGACTCAGTTGAACCGGATTTTATATCCAAAATTTCGGATCCAATAACAGGGTAACCGGGTATTTCACCACGAAAAAAATACTTGGCTGTGATCAGGGTAAAAATACTTACCTGTGATAAAGATTTTAAAATGATCTGGACATAGCCCCTGAACTCAACGGAGTCAAAGTATATACACCTCTTGCTACCAAAAAGAGGAGGCAATATATAAGCCTTCCAATTTTATTGTTTTGTTTTTTTTAACTGGAAATGTTCTAAAAATTTGAATTTTTTACTAGAGGAGTAAAATTTGCACTACACCAAACAGTGATTTTTAACACATTTTTAATTAATTATTAACGGAGATTTTTTTATTTCAACAATTGAATTTTTGTCCGTTCGAGGTCGTATTTTCAAACTTTTATCTTGCTCCACAAACTTGTCAACATCCAACACATATATTCGAATTCTAATTCTGTAATTTAGTTTAATTAAGTTATTTAATTTCTATATGAAACCAACGCACTTTAAATTTGCACAAAAGGGTCCACAAGGTACGAAAAATACTCATTTATGTTGCCATATTCGCAAATTATTTCTTCTAATTATTCATGATGATAACAATGAACCCCCGAGAAAAAACTTTCGTGGGAATACAATTTAGCGCTGATAATTATGATTGAGCGATGTTGACCCATTAAAAAGGTCTACAGCCTTTTTTAATAAAAATCTGTCCGAGAGCCGAGATTTTGTTCTATGAAATTTTGAAATGAAAAACATTTAAAAGGATGGGAAAATCAATTAAATTTTCTTATAAAAAATGTTTAATTGCTTATGCAGCCCCTGATCAATTTACTTTAATATGCGGAATCACAGATAATCCAAATTAATAAAAATAACAAATTGATAAATAATTTTTTAATTGTTTATTTTTTTATTTATAAATAATTATTTTATATGTATGTTTGAAAAAAATATCATTAAAAAACATAAAAAAAACATAATGTATAATATGGATAACAGAAATACACTTTTTACTTTAAATTATATAATTGATGTAGCGATTTTTTCGCTTGCAATAAAAAAGAGAATTAAATATCATTTTTTTAAATTATATTGCTTTTCAATGGACTTCAATTAATAAAAACAAATAAAAATATATATGAACGTTATATATGAAAAAATAATAAAGAACATTAACTTTTAAAAAATGAAAATATAATTTAAAATCTAAATTAAAAAAACGACAGTTACATTCAGTTTTAACTAACAAGACAAGGATGTTTTTTTAATTTAATTTTCGAGCATATGAAAGAATTAAGCAACAAATCTTTCATATTAATTTACAAAACAAAAGAGAAAAAACATGGATACATTTTTTAAAGAAACTTTTGGTTTAAAGCAAACTTATATTTATATAAAACAGGGCAATTGGAAGTGTGGAACTTTGTTTGCTTTAAGGATTTTGTTTTTCAATAGAAAAATACAGGACCATCTTGGTCTGGTTTATATGTATGTACGTGTATAGGTAGTGGTTGAGAGTAGGTGGTAATAACACGACTTAGACATCAATTTGGAAAGGTGAGCCGGGAATATGTTCATCACCCCATTTGACTATTAAAATATATTGGCCACGATCGCGTACCATGTAGCTGACATTGTAGTTGTTGCGTCCGGTGTGTTTAATGCTGAATTCTTCGCAGGGTCCTTTGGGTCCGTACATGCCGACATAGAGGATGTTGTTGCCTGAAAATAAAGAGGACATTTTTAAATATACAAATTGCCTTCAATGCCTATTTTCGTTTACTTACCAGCTTCAGTGGCACTAATGGTGAAGGTATTGGTTTTACCCATGAAGGCCTTCTTAAGACCCATACCCTTGGATGTTACCAGAGAAGCATCTGATTTGAAGGCAGGCATGACAACACCGGTATTCTTGCCACCCTTGGCAACCTTTTGCACGGTCTCCACAACGACGGTAGAGGTTTCTTGGGCACCTTCATCTACCATCTTGTCACCTGAAAAATAACAACATAAAATTAGCATCTTCCTAAGGTTAGTATCACCACCACAACTTACCTTCACAGCTAACTCTGAATGGTGAGCCAATAATGTGAATATTGTTGTATTTAACAGAAATGAAATGATCGCCGGGCAACAATGGAGTATAGCGTACCTTATAGCCCTCCTCAACTTCAGTACAATCCATGGCCACCTTTGAGGGACCATCAATGGCCACCGACAATGTACCAACGCCAGCATTGCAGGTATTAATAATGAAATCAGCCTTGTGACCTGTCTTTACACATTCCAAACCCGAGCCGCTGGCATGGACAGCAGCAGGATCGGCCACATCCTTACCGACCTTGATGCGGAAAGGCGATCCAGGAATATGAACACCATTGAATTTGACATGGATGGCATGAATACCGTTTTCACGTGGATAGAAACGCACCGATGTCATATCGCTATCGATGGTTTGGATGAAGCAATCATCATCGGTGCCGGAGGGAGCAACAATCTTGGCATCCAATTCACCCTTGGCTCCGTTCTTGCGTACCATGAATTGATAAGGAGCATCAGCTTGAATGCTTCCTTCAGGGAATTGCTGGACTTCCAGTTTGTGGGCATCACCGGCATCGGGAGAAATGTAAACCTTGAAGGGTGAGTCGGGAATATGACGATCGTTGAATTTCAAACCAACACGATACTCTCCAGGTTCAGTAACTTTGTAGGCAACATCGCAGGAACCATCCTTGCGGTCCTTGAACTCAATTTCAGCCTTGCTTGGGCCTTCAACGGAGATGGCCAAGGAGCCACCGCCGGCTTCACGAGTCCAGACATTGAACTCGTTGGCCACACCAACAAGACCGCGCTCCAAACCAGAACCACCAGCCTTAACCAAATGGCTACCAAAGTCATGCAAAGGACCAACGGTGAATTGGAAGGGAGAGCCGGGGATGTGCATGTCCTTGTAGCGTACAGATACAGTGTGGACACCCAATTCCTTGGGGATAAAGTGCACGGAGTAGAGACCATCTTCAACTTCCTGGATCTCAGCATCTTCGGTCACGTTGCTGGGCGATGTAACACGAGCAGCCAAATCGAAGGAGGTAATGCCGGGCATTTTGAAGGTCAATTTACATTTGCTGCCAATTTCAGTGACGGGAACAGCATCGCGTTCACGTTGGATCTTTTCACGTTTACGGTTGCTGCCCTCACCGGTAACCTTAACAGTGAAGGGGGAGCCTTCAACATGGTGATCGGCGAATTTCAAGTTTACAATATAATAACCAGGTTCAGTGGGTTTGTAGGAGATGTTCAAGGTGCCATCATCCTTATCGGTGCATTGAATTTCAGCCTTGCTGGGACCCTCAATGGAGACGGACAAACCACCGTAACCAGCATTGCGGGTATCCACGGAGAACACATTCTCAGTGTGAGTTTTGCCCTCCTTCAAACCGGCTCCAGAAACCTTAACTTTCTTGGCATCACCCACTTCACGTTCCATAACGGTCACCTTGAATGGTGAATTGGGAATATGTTTGCCCATACGTTTCACAGAAACCATATGTTCACCAGTTTCACGGGGTGTAAAGGAAATACCAATATTACCGGTTGGCATGCGTTTCAAGAAGCAAGGTTCCTCCAGACCGCTGGGAGCCTGAATGGAAGCGTTCAAGGCACGCAAATCATCATCGGTAATTTCACCAGGCATGGTCACCTCCGAACAGGAACCTACAGAAATTTGATTACGTTTACGGCCTTCGCCTGTAACCTTGGCCACATAGGGGGAGCCGTTAATGTGTTTATCGCCAAAGCGTACCGAAACATGATATTCGCCAGGAGCAGTGGGTAGATATTGCACCGACACAGTACCATCTTTGTTGTCGTGATAGTTAATCTGTAAATATAGGTTTTGTTTTCGGCGAAGAAAAGAAAGAAAAGCCATTGGATTTAAAGCTGCGGGAAATGTTAAGGTACAACTACTTTACGTACTACACTATTTACTATTGGCAAGGCAAATTACCACACAACGCCTGAAAGTATGCTTTGTAATTTGTACTGTTATTTGATGGGAAGGTGAAAAAATGGGAAGAGTTTTTTGTTTTAAAGAAATAGAGGTGTAGAAATGGGATATAGTCGGACAATACAGTACCATATAATTCAAATTTTAGTTTATATTTACTATATTTTGTTAATCTCTAATATATTAAATACATTTGTTACGGGGAATTTATTTTTTAACGCAACTAAAGGCTGTATTCTTGTTCTATGAAAATGTGAAATGAAAAATATATTCTTAATAAAATCTTTTATTCGATTTTTTTCTTTATAAAAGTTTCATTCCACATTTTACTAGACCAAGCATTGAGGCACAGGACCTGGCATAGGACAGGACCTCCTTTTCTAGTTTTGTTATTCAATTAAGTTTATCAAAGACGTTATGTGGCATTTGTAATTAATTAGTTATATATATGACATTACTTTCTGTTATAGCCAATAATTTGCAGATGTTATAGCATTTTGCAAATATATTTTAAAATAAAGGAAATGAATTAATGAAGTGTTTTACAATTGAGTAATGTAAATATATTCTTATATGTATAAAATGAGATATCATATATGAAGATCCTATATCCCACCCGTATTGATTGCTATTTTTTAATCAAACAATGAAATGCTTTATATATCCAGAAAAGAAGGAAAATATTATCTTTTGAAATTGAATCTTCTTTCAACTATTTGCACATAGATTAATCTCCTTGTCCCTTCATGTTTTGTAATTTACTTACATCAACTTTGCTGGGGCCTTCAACAGCCATGGTTAATCCAGCAGCACTGGCACCTTTAGTTGAGATGGTGAAGTTGCATGGCTCACCAGTAACACCATGAGTCAAACCGGGACCATAGGCTGTAACATAACCAGAGGTAATTGAATCCACATGGAATTTGAAGGGAGATCCTGCAAAAAAAGAAAAAAAAGTTATTAATTAAATAAGGAATGTTCACAAGAGTTACAGTGGAGACCGAATTGAATAGGGAACAACCTTATTGGTTGGTATTGCAGAAAAAAATACCAGGAATATTTTGATCAAAAGTTTTAACCCTCCCATCATAACCCGAAAGGAATTCCTGGTTTCTTGATCAAACGAAGTTAAGGCCTGCATATTGTTTGTTTTTAAGATAAAGCTTTAAAATTTTTAAAATTAAATTTGGGTTATATATAGAATCAATGGTACAGAAAATGGGACATATCTGTTCACTTTTTTAAAACAAAATGGGACATATCTGTTCACTTTAATACTAATTGCGATTTCAAGTATTCCTTTAATTATATGGTGTACTAAAATACAACTCTGATTGAAGACAACTCGTCATCTGATACCTTTTCGGCAGAGAGAATTTGGATTCAGATTTAGTTCAACTAGATTTACCATACAAAAGTAGATCCTTTAATGACCGGATTTTTTAAAATCTGGTGTGAAATCTACATACCAACCATACAAAAATCATACAGGTAGTCGCATCGACACAGCGGCTGGTACAATGCAATGTCAAACCAATTATGGAATTAAATTTTTTCAATGAAAAACTGTTGAAATTTGTTAAAATGATTGGTACATATCATAACTATTTTCGAAAGGCATCGTAAAAATCAATATATTTTTGAGTAAAACTTTAAAAAACGTCGTATAAAAAACATATACAAATTTACTTATATTTGAAAGAACTTTTAAAATGTTTTGACATATCAATGTTCCCAACCGTTGATGCATCTACCTGAATTCTTCTACCATAATACTAACGGAATGAATCAAACAGCAAAAGTCAGCTTAGCGGCATTTATATCCATCTAAGGGTGCATTAAAATATGCAAGGTTAATTCAACAGATTTATTAATCCCAAAAATTGGACTTTAGAAATGGGTCAAATCGTATGCCTGCGTCTTGAATTTAGATGTAACAATTGTCATAAGAAAGCGTTGCATTTATTGAAGCTACCGAAATAAATAACGTTCCTGGTTTCTTCATGAACCATAAATACTACGCAGGCTTGAGTCCTTTTTATACTGAACTTGTTTTAATAGAACGCCTTATTTAAATTGCCAATTCCATTAATTTTACGTCAAAAAATGACGTATCTTGTCGAAATTTCTTTATCTAAATGCTCGAAAATTCTCTCGACTTTTTTTTATTTAGTAATCTACTATGTATATAAACCAGAGATGGAATTTTGCTTTCTATGCAGTGAAATTTACCATGGTAAATTATAGAAAATTCAGAGATTCAACAAAAATACTTATTTAATTCTACCATAGTCCAGAGTTTAAATTATAAAATATGATAACACAGTTTGTTTTTCCATTTGTTGTTAAGAATAAAACTAATTTTGGATTTGAATTTGTGGATTGGCCTCATGTTTTGTGATTTCCCAATATAAAAATTTGGTGAGAAAACCTGTTAAATAAACTAAAGCCTAGTTTCCTTGAAGTTAAACTATTTTTCTAGCGGTGCCATGGTTTTAAAGCTGTTTCGGAACCCTAAGTCTAACTAAATCCATTACTTACCCTGAACAGGTTCACCATTGTATTTGACAATCAATTCGTGGGAGCCCTCTTCTTTGGGATCGTATTTAACCGAAACGGTACCATCACGATTGTCTTGAATAATGGGCTTGTCAATTTTTCCGCTGGGCATTTTGACTTCAGCTAAAATGAAAACAAAAACGTAAACAAAATTAATTCTCTGCATATAAATAATAATAAAACGAAATATGAAAACAATAATTTATTATTAAGAATATACTAGAATGTGGGATTATTTTTCACATTTAATAGGAAAAAGAGAATTCTTCAATGCTAATTCTAATGAGGGGGATGGACGTCGGAGAAATTTAAATGAATGGCACAATGGAAAATAGCGAACAAACAAAGGAGGAACACTAGCCAATCTTCCATCTATAGATTTATAATGAGATTGTGTCCAAATCTTTTAATGATTCACTTGTTGATTGGTGATGCAATGTTGTTGTTTTTCTTTTTTTTGCCATAGATTCATTTCAAATGCTGCGCTATTTTGAAAATATTTTTATAAATATTGTTTTCATATTATTTATTTTTGTTTTGCTATAAAAATAGCAAATATTTGCATATATATTTAAATATTTTCATTTTTATTTTAAAATCAAAATAGAAACAGCAGCAAAAAGTCATAAAAAACATATTTTAGCATATGGCAAGCTCAAAAAGTTTTTAGATATATATGGTAGACTATAAATTTGGAATTAAAATCGAAGGATCAACAATTTTTACCGAGAGAACATAAATAATTCTAGAAGCTTGTCAAATTATGACGTAAATGAAATGTGATATATATTTTCATGACTCGATTTTAAACTAACTTTTTGAAAATAAAAGATTTAGAAAATCTCAAAAAATGTTGGTTGAATTAGTTTTTATAAAAATAACATCAAAAGATTTTTCCATTACCCGACATTATTTTTCATAAAAGCCGCTTCTCAAATAAACCATTTCCCATTATGAGCCATTAAAACAGATTAATGTAAACATTGAAGAGAGCCATTAATTAAAAAGCCTTTAATGAAATTACCAAGGAGATACCCCAACAAAAATACTAAAAAGCCACAATAAAAAGACAAGTGATAAACAAGCGAAAAATCCGTATTATCTTATAAATCACTGACGCGTGCCAACTGTTTAAGAATCTCGGAAAATAAACAAATATTTGCAAAATAGTATATACAGACATTGTCATAAATATACAAACATTGTTGGTATTAAAAGCATCAATGGTTGCGGCAAAACTAATAAACAAACAACTATTCGTATACACGAAAAATTGCCCATATGGGTCACTAGCGCCAGCGGCGGCCATATGGATTATGCTGATCTTTTTTTTTTTTGTTATAATGATAATCATGTCGGCGTTAAGATCGATGGTGTGAAATAAATTGAAAGGCGAGCGCTGAAATATTTAGATGAAGGAAGGAGACTACATATTACCCTACAAAAGATGTTATAACAAAATGTAAATAAAGTGTGTAAACGGAGACTAGGTATACAATAAGGAATAATAATAAATTGATACAGATTCTATACAATTTTGAAATTTGGCTAATAAAATCGGCGCTAGAAGTGTGTGATCGCTAACCTAAGATGGTTAGTATTACTGCTTTAAACAAAAATGACATCTGTCCTATACAATACGTGCCAACTGAAGTTGGAATGTTGGTCATGTAAGGTCATGGTAAATGACATTTACATACAAATGTTTATGCTTGTTAACCCCGAATGGTTCACAAATGATTAATTCGGGGAAATTTCTTAAAAATGCCATCCAACAAAATAGCTACTTTAGAAATAACGGAACGAATTCAAGACAAAATTGCAAATTTAAACTCTAGCAATAAAATGTCACATGTCTGCGTCTTAAATTAAGATGCAACATTAGTCATGACACGTAGTTTTGTTTTTTGAAACTACCGAAATAAAAAACGTTCCTGGTGTGTTGCCTTAATAGTACGTTTACATATAAATAGGTTAACCCACTGGATTTTGATTAAAATTGTCATATCCACTACTTATACTTCAAACAAATCCTCTTGAAGTAGGTTAACCCTGAAAAAAGTTCTAACATAAACATAGCATTAGATAAACAATTTTATATGGATTGATCACATTGTCAGGAAGGAATTTGATCCAGTGCGAAATCTAGATCACTGGGTTTTTACATTATATACACTCCATAGTTATATACACTCCACAGTCATATGTTTGCAATCCGAAAAAATAACAAAACAGATTGTGCCAAAAATTTCACCTTTATATTGAAAAGCATTGAAACAAAATTTTTTAACCGGCCACACCTCAATTTTTCAATTGAGCTTACATAAATTTAAGATCACTTGTGATTTTCGAAAAGCAGAATTGATAAATGTTTAAACGTAATTGAAGTCATTAATACAAATTCAATGCAAACGAACACTTTGAAATTAATTGAAATCAATTAGCGAAATCTTCTAACAAATTCAAAAATAATTATGGCGCCAGTGAAATATGTTGGGAAAAAGTCTTCAATAAAAAAATGCAAAGATAACACATTGGCCAAGTTTTTTAATGTATTTTTATAAAAAAATCTATGATGTCGGTGTTATTTTGAAATCAAAAGAAACATTTTCTATTGCATCAAAGAACTAATTTTGCATATACTTTTTAATTAATGCTCTTGTTAGATTGAGTTTAGATGAAACATGTTAATAAATTATGCTGTGTCAACAATAAACCCCGCATGGACATGCAAAACGAAAATATGCACTCATGTCCATTTGAATGGCCTGTCATGTGGCGTGTCAGACCATTGTCGCTAAAGTGTCATGATTTGTTGTTAAAATGTCATTTCCATGTTGTTGATGATGATTTCTTATGTTGTTTTCATTTTGTTTGTTGTTTTCGGTTTTGTTTGGTGTGCCAATAGTGTTTTACTTTTGTTTGTTTTTTTTTTGCGTAAATAACAGCAACAACAAACTTTGCCGAAAATTTATGATACTTTGGCAAAATTTCAAAATATGCACGCATCCCATAGCAAATTCAATTTTATGGCATAATGCGGAATCTGTTCATTTTTCTTCCCTCGATGTGCGTTCAAGTAGGGAGAGAGCGAGAGCAGATTTATAGATTAAAATGCAATTCCTTTTCCCTTTACCCAAAAACGACTTCATCATTGTAATGAAATTTAATTTCATTTTCGTTGCGGAAATTTTATTGTGCTTCGTCTGTATCGGCGGCGCATACATAATGTTCATGGTCCACAAATTGCCCATTTAATGTATTCTGACACTTGTTTACATTTGTTTTTAATTGTAGATTATGCATTTTGTTGTGGGGAACAAAAAACCGCATACAATGTTGATTCGGATGGATGGGCATAATGAAATTTTAAATTGCACATAGAATTTGTAACATTTATTTTAGCCAATAAAAATGAATGGGTGGGTGGGTGGGTGGGAGTTCTAATTTGGGGTAACAAATGGGCAAACAAATATTTGAAAAGGGATATATATTTTTGAAAATCTTAATTTTGTTTTGGGTTTTACTTAAAAGTGTGTCTACATAATTGAAGTAAGGGATTTACTTTTTAAACCTAATTCATAAAAAGTGTGGCAAAGATAGTCAAATTCATTGATTATGCATCAAATTAATGTCATATCCTTGTAAATCGCTATTTTAAATTAGCCTTTCGTGTGTCTTTGAGATCACATAATAATACCTAACATTAGTATTCAAAAGGACAAATATGAATGTTTTTTGTGCCACGCGTTGATCAAAAACAACAACAGCAAAAGTATGTAACAATGGCCCAAATATTAATTTTGTTTTAGGCCTCAGATGAAAGTGTACCTCCATCATTGTAGTAAGGGATTTATAGATCAATTTTTTCTTTTTTAAGCCCTATAAAGGACTTAAAAAGTCGCATGTCTGCGTTTTAATTTAAGGTGCAACATTTTATTAATGTCAGTGAAATCAAAAACGTTCCTGCAAATTGTAAGGCCATTGTGTAGGGTTCTATAGAGACATTTTTAGCATTTTCTAGGAATATTATGATATAACATTTATAATGACATATAGCTGAATTTGTCGATGCTACTGAAATCAAATTGTGGCAATAATTGGCAAATTGTGGGAGTATTTGTAGGGTTCTCTAGAGACATTTGTATCAGGTTCTAGAACTATGGAAGTTCTTACAAAGAATTATAATTTGACTCCATTCATAATCGACATGGGTTTATTGTTGTGGTGACTTAAGTGAGATCCGTAACCACTTGTCATTGTTACACTCCATGTAATTGTATTGTGATACTTTCTGCTCGTGACGATGTGGCAACATATGGCACTTGTCACTACAGCATCTTTGTTTTGGATTCATTCGTACATTTCAATCAAAGCAACCGGTCACCATTTTCAATTCGATCCTTTTTGCATTATCGTAGATTAAGTTATTTATAATAAAGTATCATTATCATTATAACGTAAAGATCGTGCATTATTTATTCATCAGTCTCAACAAGACACAACAGTTTGGCGACGAGCGTAAAAAGTGGAATATTATTTTGGAAAACTAATATTCTGCATATTTTTTTTTCTATTAAAGCAAGTGCAAGCTTTTAACAACAACACAAATATAACAAAATGGATGCATCTCAATTTGCCGCGTTTATGGATATGCAAAAGGCGTTGTTTAGCCAAATATAGAAGATGACTGTGGGTGCTCCTACTTCAAGTGCAGCGCAAGGCAGCAGCAACACCAGCATCAACACGACATTGGTACCAAACTTCGATCATTTTGATCCGGCAAAGGAAATGTATACCAATTATATAGAGAGGTTTAACAACTACATTGCAATGAAGGGCGTCAGTGCTAATAAGGAGTACTGTACAAAGTTGCTTCTTAACTCTATTGGTGCGAAGTACTTTAACATGGTGACGGCGTTGGCAGCGCCCAGAGCAGCGGCAGATCTGCAATACGATGAATTGCTAACCATTTTGCAAAATCATTTAGCACCGAAAAAGAATGTGTTGGTGGCACAACACAAATTTTTATCAAAATATCAGATGCAAGGGCAATCAGTGGCAGATTTTGTGGCTGCACTCCGTACTGATATTAATTCGTGCGAATTTGTTTCACCGTGCAA